GTACATCATGTGAAATGCCAGCCTGGATGATTCAGAAGCCGGAATTAAGATTGCTGGGAAAAACATCAACAACCTCAGATATGCAGACGATACGACTCTAATGGCAAAAGTGAAGAGGACCTAAAGAGCCTCTTGCTCAGGGTAAAAGAGAAGAGTGCAAAGGTTGGCTTGAAAGTTGAAACTCAACATCAAAAAACCCCTAAGATCATGGCATCCAGCCCCATCACTCCTTGGCAAATAGAAGGAGGAGTCGTGGAAGCAGTGACAGACTTCACATTCCTGGGATCCAAGTTCACTGCAGACGGTGACTGTAGCCATGAAATTAAAAGATGCCTGCTCCTTGGGAGGAAAGCGATGGCAAACCTTGACAGCATAATAAAAAGTAGAGACATCACCCTGCCAACAAAAGTCCATATGGTCAAAGCAATGGTATTCCCAGTAGTCATGTATGGCTGCGAGAGTTGGACCATAAAGAAGGCTGAGCGCCGAAGAGTAGATTCTTTTGAATTATGGTGCTGGAGAAGATCAAGTCAGTAAATCCTAAAAGAAATCAACCCTGACTGTTCCCTGGAAGGCCAGATACTGAAGCTGAAGCTCAAACACTTTGGCCACCCAATGAGAAGGGAGCACTCACTGATGCTGGGAAAGATTGAAGGTCAAAGAAGAAGGGGATGGCAAAGGATGATATGGTTAGACAGTGTTATTGAGGCAACGAACATGAAATTAAGCAAACTCAGGAGCACGACAGGAGGGCCTGGCGTGATGTGGTACATGGGGTCACCAAGAGTTGGACTCGACTGTGTGACTGAACAACAACAAAATAGATAAGAAAGACAGGGGAGTTATACCTGTTTTAAACCTCAGAAAATTAAATGTTTTTCTTCACGTTTCTAAGTTCTGTATGGTGTCCATTCCTTCGATTTTACAGTTATTAAAATTTAATTGTTGGTTCATTGTTATTGATTTGAAGGATGCCTCTTTTCATATTTCAATCCACCCTCAACTTTGCAAGTTATGTTTTTCATGTGGGGAATGAATTTTTCAGTATACTGTCTTACCCTTTGGTCTAGCCACTGCACCCAGGGTATTCTCAAAGCATTTAGCCTCAATTATTGCTTACCTTTGTATGCAGGGTTGCCATATATTCCCCTACTGAGATTATTGGTTACTGGTGGTGGATTCCAAGGATCAATTGTTGAGTCATTGCATTTTTGTCTTGGTGAACTGGGATAAATCATAATTAGTCCCATCCCAGAGGGTACAATTTATTGGAGCTTTGCTGGATTCTGTAGTGGGAAAGGGTTTTCTACCTCTTGAAAGGATACAGGCCATCTTTGCCTTGGTGAGACAGTTCAGATTTATTTATTTATTTCTATTTATAAGTTCAATTTATACCCCGCCCTCCCTGCTACGCAAGCTCAGGGCGGCTTACAGGAGGCATAAGCCAATATAAAACACATTTAATACCATTTAAAAATCACTACAGTACAATAACATTATTATTAACTAAAGGGCTCTAGATGTTCTAACATGATATTCCACAGGATGGCATATTACAACTGCTCTATTACAACTGCTCTACCCACTCAGCGTCATCTGTTCTGGAAAACGCTGATGTTCCTTCTTCCAGGGCCAGGTTATGATGGAACAGTAGTGATGGTAGTGGTGGTAGTGGCGGCTCCTACTCATACACCTGGCAGAAGAGCTCCGTCTTACAGGCCCTGCGGAACTGTGCAAGGTCCCCGCAGGGCCCGGATCTCCTCCGGGAGCTCATTCCACCAGGTAGGAGCCGCCACCGAGAAAGGCCTGGCCCTGGTAGCAGCCAGCCTGGCCTCTTTGGGACCTGGCATCACCAGGATGGTTCTAGTCAATTTGGAAAATTCCACGCCTTTTGGGATATATGGCTTCTACCATTGCAGATGTGACCCCTGCAGCTCTTGTTTCTGTCTTGTTATAGTGCTGGGGTTCATGCCTTATGGCACAGATCTTCTAATCCCAGACCTGTCATCTGTTCTTTATTGTGGTGCTGTTCAATGTTCCCTCTAAGCTGTGGAGTCTTGTGAGCAAGAATTCTACTTTGTGAGCTCCTGGCCTTAAAGTTGTGAGTGAGCGATTTGGCTACTGCATAAATTAGTTTGCTCTGGAGCCGTCCTTCCTGAGCTAAGACAAAAATGTGTGAGCCGGAGGCTAAAAAACTGTGAGCTAGCTCACACAAACTCAGCTTAGAGGGAACACTGGTGCTTTTCTATGGATAATTTATCCTGGGGGATTTCCTTTGGAGTTTTTGAACATTTATTTATTATTTGCATTTATATTCCGCCCATCCCACGGGCGGGCTCAGGGCGGGTAACATCATTAAAATAAATATAATTTCAGTTTAAAACATTAAAGATTAAAACACAATAAAAACATGAGGTTGTCCTTACTACGCATGCTTTGCTCTTGGATTGGGGTACCCACTGTGAGAGATTCTCAGCTATGGGCACTTGGTTAGAAGATGAGAAGCTGCTGCACAGTAATATTTGTGAGCAGTTATGCCCTTAGTTGTTTCTCAGATATCCTTCAGAACTGATGCATTCTTGTCCAAACAGACACTAAAGTTACATTGCTTTATTTAAACAAGCAAGAGGGCCCAGGGCCCAGAGGTCTATGTCAGAAAGCTACCCTTGCATGGGACACAGCAGTGAAGACCAGTGCTTCCATTAAGGCCATCTACCTCCAAATAAACATGGTAGCCGACAGATTGAGCAGGATTGGCACACTCTCCCACAAAAGGTCCATAAAGGCCACATATCTAGAACTACTTTTTACCCTTGGGGGGGGGTTCCAGACATCAGTCTTTTTGCGATGAGAGAAAACAAAAAGCTATCTCTCTATATAATAATGCTGTTTTAAAGTGGCAACATTCCATGCACTCACATTGGCTGTGCAATGCCCTCCCTCAGCCATTGGCCCATCAGCTGCCATTCAAGAGTACTCGTGTGCCATTGGCCAGGTGCTGGGTCTGCTCCTCTTCCCCGCCCACTCCCCCTTCAGCCACTCTGCCCTGTCAGAATTCCTTGACTACTTGTTGATGAAATACTACTCACTGCAACACAGCAGTCTAAATATATACTTTCATTACACATCATGACTGTTTTTTTCATCGGTTGTTATCAGATGAGAAGTGCTTGCCCAGTCCAGAACCACTGATTTCGAGAGCGGTGTTGAGAGACCTGAATCAGATTGAGGTGATGAGAGAGGAGCTCCTACGATTGATAGACAACTTAAAAATGGATAAATCACCAGGCCCGGATGGCATACATCCGAGAGCTCTGAAAGAATTCAGTTGTGAACTTGTGGATCTCCTGACAAAAATATGTAATCTTTCATTAAAATCTGCCTCCATTACTGAAGACTGGAAAGTAGCTAATGTCACTCCCATCTTTAAAAAGGGTTCCAGAGGAGATCCGGGAAATTACAGACCAGTCAGTTTGACTTCGATACTGGGTAAGTTGGTGTAAACTATTATTACGGAAAGAATTAATAGGCACATAGATGAACAAAAACTATTGAGGAAGACTCAGCATGGGTTCTGTAAGGGAAGATTTTATTTATTTATTTATTTATCATTACATTTCTAGCCTGCCCTCCCCGCAAGCGGGCTCAGGGCGGCTCACAAATAGGGCACATATGCCAATACATAAAAACAAAATTAAAAAGAAGATAAAGCAATCATTTACAATATTACAAAGTGCTCTAGATGTTTCAGAATCAGTCTTCAGTAAGAGAGTGGTTCAGTGGTATCAGCTCCATGCCGCGCTGTAGTTCGATCGTCACAGGGCCATCTTGTCTCACTAACCTGCTAGTGTTCTTTGAGGGAGTGAACAAACATGTGGACAAGAGGGACCCAATAGATGTTGTTTACCTTGACTTCCAGAAAGCTTTTGATAAAGTTCCTCATCAAAGGCTCCTAAGTAAGCTCAATAGTCATGGGATAAAAGGACAAGTCCTTTTGTGGATCAAAAACTGGCTGATAAATAGGAACAGGGAGTGAGTATAAATGGGCAATTTTCTCAGTGTAGGGTGATAAGCAGTGGGGTACCGCAGGGATCAGTACTCGGTCTGATGTAAAGTCAGTAAATCCAAGTGGCCTAAAGAAGGGAAGAAAAGAAGAATTAATTTAAATTAAAGAGAGGTAACTTAAGTCAAATCTAGAGCCAAGGCAACCAGAGCTCAAAGTTCTCAAAAGCTGCCTAAAATATGGTGAGACTTTTCTCTTTGGAGAAGTTCTGAAATATGAGGTTGGATTAAATCAATGTTAATGATGAATTTTAAAAAATACTTGCAAATTTCTATGGAAAATACTGTGAAAGAGAGGTTATTGGAAATTTCGCCCTTCTCTGGTAACAGACACAACACAGAATAATAAAACAAGGATATCTTTTCTGTGATGCTTGATGAGAAAATGTGGAATAACACTGAGATATTATAACATATCGGGACAGCTTTCCTTGGGGGGTCTTCTGGTTTTCCGAAGTGGCGATGCTACTTTTTATCAGTGATTAAGTCTTTTTGTATGCATGCTGCCTTACAAAATTTGCTTGTGAAACTAAGTAATTCAATTAATATATTCTTTCTTTTAAGCAAGCAAAAAAATGTAGAGGTGTCCATTTTCATTTCAGGTCTGTGGGAGGAATCCATGCTTCTTTATATAATGCCGTGACTATAGAAGATGTTCAGAAGCTGTCAGCGCCCATGAAAAGCTTCATGGAGAGGCATCGGTCATGAACTCAAGACCTGATGCTGTGCCACACCTCTTGGAAATCAAGTGCAAAGGACTTGATGATGGAAGAAGTATGAAAGGCCAAATAGTGCACTATAACTTTTTCAGACAAAATAATAATCCCTGTATGTTCAATTCCTGAAACTGTCTTAAAATATCAGACCACTTATACGAATCCCCATCGGTGAGTTCTGGGGATTGGTCCCAATGTCATGGATTGGGGTACCCACTGTGAGAGATTCTCAGCTATGGGCACTTGGTTAGAAGATGAGAAGCTGCTGCACAGTAATATTTGTGAGCAGTTATGGAATTATGCTTGTATAATTCCATAAGGGGTCAGAAGATAATCAGCCTGTCAAAGAATTGGTAATCTTTTAAATTTCAAAGCAAATAATGACTTGTGAGGTATAGTTTGGATGAGAATCTGGTATTACATTCATGGTGGTCCTCTGAAATAGTTTGATTTGTTACAGGAGTAAGTGATCGCATAACCTAGTCTGTTTTGTGTAAAATCATTCTTGGTGAATTTTGTTGCTGTATTCCTTACAGATCATTTTTTCCCATGATGCTCTCAATCTAATACTTTTGTATACATAGCTTTGGTAGTAGCACTTTTTATGGAATATATTCAAAGGCATCTACTGCCAGTAATTTGTTGCTCACCTCAGGCCTTGCTTTTGCAAAGACATTGCAACTGGGTGCTTTCAACAGGTTCATATTTTTTTAGTGGATGAAGCTGGCATTATTTTCTATTCTAATTTCTTAAGCATACCTCTGACTACGCTGAGGTACAATTTTTCTTCCTTGAATATCAATGCCTTTTAACCTACAAAGATTTCCACTTAGCATTCTTCTATTTTGCATCCCAGAAACCAAAATTGCCTCCCTATTCAGTGAGCACTTTTGTTCTCCCTTCCTTTGAAGTTGACTTCATTCACCTTAAATTTTACAAGGCTATCTGGCTCAGCTGGCTGGTATGGACTTTTTTGGTTAGGGCCACAGCAGCCATTTTGTGCTTCTCAGTAGATGTCCTTCAGCAAAATATGGCCCTGCATGCTTTTCACACAGAAAGCATTTTTAAGGTTGTGGGAGTTGTTTGCTTTCATGAACCTCCATGCAGGAAAACTATCCTGTGTGAAATCACAGGCTGACACCAGACCTCCCATTCACCACATGTACGATCCTTCTCCCTCATCTTTGTGCCTGGTTTCATGATATCTATCTAGTATAACTCCCACATCTGTCTAAAACATGATTTTTTAAAAAATGTATCCAAAATGATTGTCTTCTCAGAGCCTTCAGCCATTAAATCCACTGCATATTTTTTTTATCACAAATACATCATTGGCAAAATCATGATTAGTGTCTCCTGTATCAATTCCTTTCTCCTTAGAATGTAAGATTGGGAATGTAGTGTAAGTGATTGTCTTCTCAGAGCCTTCAGCCATTAAATCCACTGCATATTTTTTTTATCACAAATACATCATTGGCAAAATCCCGATTAGTGTCTCCTGTATCAATTCCTCTCTCCTTAGAATGTACAAATGACCCCTGAGTGTAAGTAACATAGTACCAGTGTGGTGTAGTGGTTAAGGTGTTGGACTAGGATCTGGTAAGCCAAGGTTCAAACCTTCACTCTGCCATAAAGCTTGCTGTGTGAACCTCAACCAGTCACTGTCTCTCTTTCAGCCTAAACTACATCACAGGGTTGTGAGGAAAAAATGGAGGAGGAAGAATGATGTACACCACACAGAGCCCTTTGGAGGAAGGACAGGATAAAAATGTACTAAATAAATACTATGGTTTATATACTTATATAACATTAACAATTCATGTTTTATTCCTAGTGTAATGCCTGAATATGTTCATTCTCTTGCACAAAAGTTATAGTTCCTGTCTCCTTATTTCAAAATAACAATGTTTTACTTTCTCTGTGGATTATACCATAGGGTGAAAAAATAAAGTAGGATGAAGTAATCTGATTTCCTTTACAACTTTTGCCTTCTAGAAGCTCAGATATAATTGGAAACTGTAATGTTTCGTGTGGCACTTGAAAGCAATCCTACTTTTTCAGAGTTTAAAACTTTCAAAAAATCATTTTCTGTTGATTGTTACTGTCTTGCCTTAACAGTTGCCTTGGAAAGTCATGTTTTTGCCTAAACGTTGGCTATCTCTTTCAGTTTTTATATTATTATTCAAACTCATGTTTCTGTTTTCTACACAGCTACAGGTTGGGATGTCAGGCAGTGGCCTGGCAACCCCATGAGGATTTAGGGGCAGGGACAAGCGTATTGATTTGTGACACCACTTCTGGCAAAAAACAGAAGTGATGTGATGACTGGGGGGGCTGTTCTAGGATTAGCCAAAACTCTATGGTTAATTCTAATGGCAAATTCTAGAATACTAGAATTGACATCACTTCTGGTTTTTGCTTGAAGTGATGTTGCGTGCTAGCACAATGCTGGTGTGTCCACCCTGTTTCCCCCAATTCCCCTCCACACCAGTTGTTAAGATGCTGAAAGGCAAACAGATGGGATCTCCACAATCTCCTGCCATAGCAGGAGACTTGGCATCACTAATTTCAGGATTTAATCTTTTTTCAACCAAAGTTTTTAGGTCTTTTCTAAATACTGATGACCTTCACCCTTTTATAGTGTCCAAATTATCTGGTCTGCTATTCACATCTATTTGATCAGTACACACTAATACCCAGTCACATGGGGCCCAATCCAGAGATTCTTCTGTACAGGAGTGAGTTGAATACATGTTACTTCATGCAAAAATCTTCCTTCTGTCCATTCTGAATATATGGTCAGTGCTTTCATCATGGCCAATACCAATAACCTTTGGGAAAGGAAAATGCAGTGGAAGTAACTAGACAAAACCCTCTCTCTTCAAACACGGATGATAAAAATGGTGGTAGGTGGGGTATAGGTGCTCTGCTAGTGCTACAGGATTTTCAATGCAGCATCTTTTACCACAGAGTGGACTGGAACCAGAAAAGTAGTCTGCACAAAGATCATCCTTACAGGCTTCTTGATCTACCCACCAGGTAGTTGAACAGAAACAGGTTAAGTTTGATCTTGCAGGGCTGCTGGGGAGGGGAGACAACCAAGGGGACAACATTCTGGGATTTCTTTGATCTCAAAGGCCTATGGAGCTGAGCAAGTCACAGGATTTCTTTCATGTAATGTTAGGATTGAATCTGGCATGTGTGTATAAAGTATGGGGCCTGAGGGAATTCTTGTCTATGGGGCTATAGTGACCCCTTGATAGGCCTATGACGCTGTGGAAAACCATGTTGCCCTCAGCAGAATTTGATACATAAATGGGCATTAGCCCCCAGCAAAGTATTATCATCATCTGTTAAGCCTGCCTTGTTTTTATCTGATGCAAAAGGGAGACAGCAAAACAGACAGTATTCCCACAATGCGTGTATGACAGTAGGTTTGATTGCGACTGTGCATTAATGGCATGAAGTTGAATTCTGTGGTCTGATGAAATTGAAGATATGATGTAATAATATAACGATGCTCATCTCTGCAGAATCATGTGGCTCTGTTTTGCACGAATAAGGATTGTATCAGTTTATGTGAAACCAGATTATCTTGCCTTTTGGCATAAAGTTATATGAAATAAAAGTGTATTTTTGAATTAAAAATAAAGCTGTGGAGAAAGGCATGATGCCCTGGATCCTTGAACAAGCACAAGGCCCATCAAAATTAAATTAAATCTGAGGGCTGAATTTAATATCTTGGGTGACTGAAGATAGCAAGTAAATCAAGGGTGGTTTTTTTTATTTTACTTCTCCAAATTGGAGTAAATGTTATTAGAAGTAACCAGGAAGAACCATTAAAGGTGACAGGATATTTTGATAGATTAGTTTCTGTCAAATTAAGGTGAAAACATTATTGGGCTTGGCATTATATCATCATATGATTAATGTTTGTTATATTACACTCTTGGAATGGAAAATAAAATGTGGGAGAACCTCTTCACGTATGATAAGAATGTGCATAATTAAAATGTGATGTGTTACTTGGTTTTATGTGAAATCAATCACTTTAATTGGAAAGAAGTATCCCTTATTTCTGTTGGTAATTGGGCTCTTGATAATTTTAAATCAGGATTCATGACAGTTTGTGATAAATTGGCTCCTTTTAAGCTAAAAGAAGCTCAGGAGTTATAATTACCCATGGATTATTCCTAGATGGTTAGAAGAGCTTGATCAAAGAGATGGAAGACAACACAGAAAGAAACTGTTGGTACATGAAGATTTATTGGCATTTAAAGTAGCTAAATAAGTGTGTATTTGTGGCACAAATGAAAGCTGATGTAATATCTTGAATCCCAGAAAAACTGGATCATCTAGAAACTCAGACAGTATTGGGTATTTTAGTAAATGAATTAATGTGTATAGCATTTCAGTGGGAAAAAATTACATGTCCAAACTGGGCACCGACACAATTGTAGAGGAAAATTTAGCTGTTTAAAAATAGTTACAAGGGTCTGATCCTGACGTTTCAGCCATTTTGGCACTTGAAAATGTGTGAGTGAGGACAAGATTACCTGGTGCTGCCACAGCATGGGCACAATCTATTTTTAAATAGCTTAATTCCCCCTCTAAATTGCTGTTGGTTGGGCCTGTGAGAGCCATCATGTGTAGTTTGGCTGTCTGTTTAGCCCTTTTAACTTCTAGGGAGAATTGAGGCTTGATTTGATCTAAAGCCCTCTTATTTGTCTTTCTGTGACAGTCCAGGGTGTCTAAAATTCTCCTCCAACACTCCAAATGAATCAATTCTCCGGTGGTCCAGGAGTGGGGCAGTCCTTGACTCCTTACTCCTGGGAAAGCACCTCCCCCTTCCGTAGGCAGGGCCGGCAAACTTTGATCCCAAAGGGGAGGGGCTTATCCTCTGATCCCCAGTCTTACCGGCCCTACCTTCTGAGCAGGACGTGCTGGCTGTGCTCTGAAGAGCACGAAGATCCCAGAAGACACTGGAAGGTCAGAAGAAGAAGCGGAGACCTAAAGGGCAATGGTTTTGATCCCAGAGGGGAGGGGCTTATCCTCTGATCCCCAGT